CTGAAAATCTTGTTAACATTTGCTTTGGTTGCTACAAACCGATGGTATACAGGGTGTCTGAAAATCTTGTTAACATTTGCTTTGGTTGCTACAAACCGATGGTATACAGGGTGTCTGAAAATCTTGTTAACATTTGCATTGGTTGGTACAAACCGATGGTATACAGGGTGTCTGGAAATCTTAACATTTGCTTTGGTTGCTACAAACATATGGTATACAGGGTGTCTGAAAATCTTGTTAACATTTGCATTGGTTGGTACAAACCGATGGTATACAGGGTGTCCGAAAATCTTGTTAACATTTGCATTGGTTGCTACAAACAGATGGTATACAGGGTGTCCGAAAATATTGTATTTACTTTGGTTGCTACAAACAGATAGTGTACAGGGTGTCTGAAAATCTTGTTAACATTTGCATTGGTTGTTACAAACAGATAGTATACAGGGCGTCCGAAAAACCATGTTAATATTTAATTGAACAGAGTTATAAACATTTGTTTAACAACAAGTAAAAGCTTGCAATGGTCTATTCTTTCATTGTGGGTGTGTCTGTTGGCCAGACTAATTTCAATTATCTATCAGCTGCCTAGTATCGGCTGAAAGTACGAAGAATTAAATTGTGGCGGAATGCTCCAAGTTCTTCAAATACCTATAGAATGATAGGTTTCTTTTTTTGCGAGTGTAAAACACTTAAATACACCAGTTCGATGTTAACATTTAATTATTGTTGTGGCGACCCTGATATTCTGCGCATGCTCCACTGTACTCCCTTAAGTCAAATGCAATTCTGATAGTAACTTGCAAAAGAAGCTCAAATCTAGTGTATCTGAAACACAAGTAAACAATTTTATTAACATAATTTCCGGACACCCAATAATGTACTAAACTGTTATTGAACCTCGCCTGTGGAACGTAAGCCATTATGACAGGGTTGAATGAGACAAGTCGCCTTCCTAATGCTCAAGTTATTGCGTTGTTGCTCGGAAAGCAGTACGCTGGTAGCGCCAACGCTGTTGTGGTACTTTTAACCGAATAGATGATTCCTCGCGGTGCTCGTTTAAATAGACATAACATGGTGGTGCCAATTGTCCAAACTGACGATGGCCAATGATCCACGAACAGTTTCGACGTTTCTGTGGGGGAATTCTCCCTTTTATTGCAAATTGTGTTCGTTGATATTTCGCCTGTTTTTGTTTCTCTGACGTCCATTTCTTTTTCCGTTTCACAGTATTGTCTCCCAATGATAATTGGTTTTGTTATTTTATATAAACTTCTTGAAAATGTAAAGTGAATTGTGCTACTAAGCCGTAATTACTGTGACAAATTCTTAAACGTGTGTGTTTGTGTGCCATTCTTTAAAACTAAAATATTTATTTTTCGTTTAAAAGAAGGGAACTTGTTATTTATTGTTTAACATTTGTTTGTTGTTTAGGGTTTTTTTTTCTTTCGGTAGAACCAATTTTCCTCTACGTAAACAAACTAGCGATCTATTCTTACACATTCACTACCGGTGGGGGGTCCTCGTATTGCATCATATTGTTTGTTTGTTTTTTGAATTTCGGGCAAAGCTACACGAGGGTTATCTGCGCTAACCGTCCCTAATTTAGCAGTGTAAGACTAGAGGGAAGTCAGCTAGTCATCACCACCCACCGCCAACTCTTGGACTACTCTTTTACCAACGAATAGTGGGATTGACCATCACTTATAACGCCCCCACGGCTGAAAGGGTGAACATCTTTAGTGGGCATCATATTTAGCAATGCTGTGTTTTTTCCCTGTTACTCACTGTTAGGGTGTAACCAAAAAATGTTTGGGTGAAATCACCCATTTTAAATTAATTACGTAGAGAAACCCAGCTGTAATTAGCATAATTAACTAAAATATCGATAGAATTTTGGTTTAAATTTTTCCGAGTATTAGGGATCTTGTAACTAAAAAACACACCTTACTTGGTGCATGAAATATTTAGTTTAGAAAAATGTGTTTAAAGAGGTGACTGGGTCATTCTGAGGTCAAAGTAGATTGAAGTCTATGTTTACGTGGATTGAAACACCATATACATATCGTAGCTGGAAGAACTACGGGCGAGCATGTTTGGTGGGACGGGGATTCGAACCCGCGACCCGCAGTCATGGTCCCTAACCACCTGGCCATGCCTGGCCTATAAGAGGGCTGGAATTATAAAACACCTGCACGAAAAATAATAAAAAAATACCTGAATAAAGATTCATAATAGTTATAATTTGTTTTGAATTTTCGCGCAAAGCTACACGAGGGCTATCTGCGCTAGCCGTCCCTAATTTAGCAGTGTAAAAACTAGAGGGAAGGCAGCTAGCTAGTCATCATCATCCACCGCCAACTCTTGGGGGCCACTCTTTTACCAACGAATAGTGGGATTGACCGTCACATTATAACGCCCCCACGGCTGAAACCGGTTAAAGAGAATGTAACAAATACAGGAATATTGAAAGGTTGTAAATATGTGTTAATTCTTTTATATGTGTGGCAAAGGACAGAAACTTCCATCATTTTGGCCTCGTGTCTGTTTATACTCCATGAGTGGGTGGGGAACCCCTCTCAAGGGGTGTGACGTATACTTGTGTAAATTGACACGAGTTTTCTCCTCTGTACATGTTAATTGGAATATTCGATGACGTATCAGCTTGGATTATGTTATTCCTCACTCTAACCTTTATTCTAACTTATAAGTGTGGTCCGATAAACTGTTTCTCTATTTGTCTTGTTCGGACATGTAGAAATTAGCCAGTTCGTTTGTTTTGGCACTCCCCCA